CTTGCATTAACTAATTGAAGTAATAATTATATGCTGAACTAGATGAGGTTTGGGATCTTTCTTGGTGCAAAAACTTGGTTACACTTGTAGCTACTGGAGTGTTGCTCCATCCCCACTAGCATCGCTTTCATGAGGCATTATTGATGACCATCTTTGGCTATTACAGGCAGTTACTCTGGCCTCAAATCTGGATTGAGGTTTTCTGTTATAAAACTGGATGCAAGACAATTGGGTCAGTAGCTGAATGGCTGTGGCAGAATCTGGAATACTGAGAAGAGCTGAGGCAAAGGAAGTGCTTTTGCACAAGAATGATAAAGCAATAGAAACATTGTGTAGTAGTGCCTTTACTGAACACCTGCAGTGTACTAGCTGACGTGTTACTGGTGGAATGATATGAAGGAGTCTGAAGAGGATTGGAAATTACAGTTTAAAATGTAACTTACTTAAATTCTCTAAATGAAAGCATAACTAATAGATCATCCATTTGAAATATAAAGAATTGATTTTTCTTACACTTTAGGTGCCTCACTACATTAAATTACTTTGTGAAAATCCTGCAAAACAATGAACTCATTCTGCTTTCAACAGAGTTCGATGTCTGTTGGAGAGTCATGACTTTGTGCGTGCATTTATGATTTTGGTTCTGATGCCTGAGACCTGATTCTTTCATAATGGTGAGTTTTGTACAGTTCAGAAATTTCCTGCTAACCTCTGTGTTGAAATGTTAGTCAATTGACACGTATTTGTTGGTCACTAAAGTTACATTTACTTAAAATTAGTTACGAGCGAGAAATTAATATTTTATGAAGTTGTCAGGAATTATGCTGTATTTTTGACTGAGTAACACCATGGCTTTATGATGCAAAAGATAAAGTGGAAATTAATTCTGATCTTAAGTTTCAAAAGTTTAGTTGTGAGCTGATTTTGAATCAGCATGGCAACTTAACTAGGAGGCAGTGTGATGTGGGAAGATTAGTTTAAATTACTTTTTTTAAAAAATGGGATTGTGTGTCACGGAGAACTAGACTAACCTTTCACCTCTGCATTTGTCTTAAGTTTCAGTGTAGTTTGAGAAGAGGAAAGTGTCATTTGAGGGTTGTAGGGTTCTTTTGTGAAATAGTTTTGCTATGCCTTAACTCAGTTCCAAGTGCATATGTATTTGATGCAGAAAATTGTTAAAAATTGAAACCAAAGGACTAGTCCTACCGTAGAGTGTAGAAGGACTTGTACTGATATTTTACTGGTTTAAAGCTAAGGCATAAAATTATGTTCACAAAGACAAGCTTGATCCTATGTCTAAAGTTGTGATATCTGATTATGTTTAATGCTGGCTGTGTGTTTAAAGTGAGTTTATGATTCCATTTCCCAAGCGGCTGTCCTTTATGTTCATGGGTCAAAAGCAATACTCATTTTTAAATACGAAATATTCACACTGCTTTACTCTGTAAAACCCAATATGAGAAGCTATCCCTCTACCAAGGCTCTCAATTCCCCCCATTGTCTCTTTATTGTCAGAGTGCTCTGTCGCTGCAAAGTGCTCCAGCTGCAGTTTATCTGGTGAAACATTAGTAACAATAGTTCCTTGACCTTCAGCCCTCGACACACTGCAGCCTCTATATCAAAAAGAGCTAAGACAGTCTACTTCGATTTCTTACTGTTCCCATTCTGTCATCACATTCACTTGTTCCAATGTTTTCCAACCTACATCCACCCTCTACCTACCAAAAATTTCAGACCATCTGAAACTTTTCTTTAGGACCAAGTCTCTCTGACCCAACCATTTGTCATTTTTAGCAATTTCACCTTTAGCTTGTCTATTTTTATGGCTGGTAGTCAGATGATACACTTGATAACCTATTAATCTATGTGTGCATCTCTGTTTGCGATGATGTGTGTTCACTTTCTTTGTATTCTTTGACACAATGTTATCTCTACATCAGGCTTTAAATTGTGTTTTGATGAAGATGACTTGGGTTTGCAAACCTATGATTCAGTAATATTTTAATGTGAACTTCATTCTTATGATTTAGGAAGTAAATGTGAACTTACTCTGATTTAGAATAGAAAATTAGTACAATTTAATATCACAACTGTTCCAAGTAATTTACTTCTACTTGCTAAAAGGGATTATTTTAATTTAATACTCTTTCTCTTACACTTGTGTTTTTACAATTACTTGTCTATATGAATGTTTTCAATATATTAGAACCTGAAATATTACTGAAAAGTACGGTAGTATTTTAAGTTATGCACTGTTCCTGGTGAAACTTGGACCATCTGTGGTCTTTTTAATATGCTGTTTAGATTCACGCAAGTATAAACTTGTAATTGAGTTGAAGCAATTATTTCCTTCATCACTTGTAAAGTTGGTGCTTCCTGCATAAGTGAGAAGCATTTTTGTGAGGACTGGGGGAGGAAAGCTGTTAAGTAGTGGATTTGAGCTTCCTGTTTAATATATATTTAGGTAAACAGCTTAAATAACCTGTTCTTTGGATTGTTTTTTTTGAGATGACCGAAATACATCCATTTGGATGCCCAAAATTTTGCCACAGTATGCATTTGCGTAAATGGGGGATGTTCTAAAAACAAATCCTAAAACTGGATTTCAATTTGCTTAGTATCTCTAGAATTCCTTAGTAAAATTGTTTATTTATCTGCAGTATCACGCTTTGGAGTATGCATTGGACCGTGCAGAGGTGAGTTATCTATGGCAATTCATCTATCTCGCTGTGTAGCATTGCACTGCAACTCTTATTACACCTGTTACTCAGTTATTCAGTGTGTATATATAATACAATATATATAATAATATATATAATGATTTGTTTTATTTTGTAGTACATTATTGGGTGTGCCAGACAACGACCGCCAAAAAGAAGGCATTCATCTAGTGGAAGGTGGTGTTCCGTAATTAAAATATTTTAAAGTTTAATGTGTATAGTTGATGAACAAAAGTAATTAAACATTCAATTTTAAAACTTCTTGCCTTAGGAAATCAGTACATCAGAAATTGTATGACCTGTATATGGAAGAATGTGAAAAAGAACCAGAGTTGAAGGTATGCACATTTAATTCTCTTATCCATAGTTCCTCCATAAGCCTGTTATAGTTTGCCGAAAGTTTTTAGGAAAACATTTTTAAAACCATTAAGAATTCAAATTCATATCTTATTTGTCAATTAGATATAAAAATAAAAATTATATATATGAAAGTAGAAGAAAGGATGATTAAATCTACTGTCTCTTTTGCTTGAGATTCAGCCTTAATGGTTTCAATGGCCTAGCTTTCCAAACGTAAAATCCTAAATGCAGCTCTGTTTTGGAGATGGTTAAACCCAAACTGGAACCTTTTTAAAAAGTTTGAATTTGAAAACAGTGCTTCTGTTTTCGGTGATTGGTAATGTGATAGGCATCGTCTTAAGTAGTCTTATGAGCGAATTAGGTAGTTTCATGAGTGGATGCATTCACTAAATGAAGCCATACCAATTTAAACTATTCCAGGCTCAGCTCTTTTTGTTCTGAGTTGGTTGACTTCAACAGTTTGGATTCTACAGTTAGCAAAATGCTTTTGTGTAAGAAAAGTTAAAATCAGCAGGATTCGCACTCCTGATTCTTATCAGCGGACCTCCACAGGGAGTACTTGCAGAGATTTTGAAACAAGGATTATTTTCTACTGTGATTATAAAGGTTAATGTTCGAGAGCAGGTTGAGTAAACCAATTTTGTAATCCCTTAAGTATAAAAGATTAAGAGTTCATCAAATTCACGTGTTTCAGATGATTAGGGGACTTGATAGAATGGATAGAGAAGCAGTTTCTTCTGGTAGAGAAGTCCAGAATAAAGGAGCATAAAATTGGAGCTAGGCTTTTCAGGGGTGATGTCTAGAAGGGTTTCATAAAGAACAAAGAAATGCAGAATTCTCTTCCCAAAATGTTTTCAAAGCTAGGGTAACTGTAAGTGTCAAAACTGAAGTTGAGACAATACAGTGTGGAGCTGGAGGAACACAGCAGGCCAGGCAGCATCAGAGGAGCAGGAAAGTTGAT